AATCATAATAATTTAGTCGAGTTATAGATTGTCTTTAGATATGTATATGAAATAAGCTTTGGTGTAACTGTCGTTGAGGAGTTATAACTCTGACTAAATTAAAAAAATGAGAAAAAGCATGACGTGGAAACAAAAAATAGTATTATTTATTATCTGGTTGCGTGGTGTTGAAGAAACAAGAGACAGTAATACTGAGTAAAATTTCAGTTTGGAGTCAAATGTACATCAAATATGTGTCAGAATCCGACATAATAATAAGATAAAGAATGAGCATATTGTATATAATCTTTCTCGTAAGTTTTATATATATATACACGTGTGTGTGTGTGTGTGTGTGTGTGTGTGTGTGTGTGTGTGTAATGAGTGTCTAGGTAATTTAGCTGGAAAATAAAAGTGTCTGGGGTTTTCCGCACGTGTTGGTGACCTGTCCGTGCTAACTGCCTGTCTGATAGTGAGAATGTCACGTATTTGTGTGTGTAGAGGAAAAAAGTTGGGTCGATTCTCATTGGTTTAGAAAGAGTGAATTAATGATAATTATAAATGTCATAATTTATTATAATTATTTTTGACACTATGAAAGGAAAAAAGAAGTGTCCAGTTTCTACAGTTGTTTAATAACAATACCTAACGGCGTCTTGGCAAACCAAGTGGGAGTAATCCCACACCATAAAACCAAATTCATTTTGCATATTATTCATGAATCTAGACGCATCCATAACCATTTTTTTTAAAAATTAGCATAGTACCCGTAAATAATAATAAAAAAATGATAGGATGATTTACGTCTTTAACGACATTGCTGACTCAGATTAGACAGTACACGTTGTCTAGACTCTGTGTTTTGTTATCCAACAAATTAGTCTGGAATTAGCGCAGTATCTACTGCTCTCCTCAGTCGCCTTTTTATCAAAAGTAAAGGAAGCAATACTTTATTGCTTTAAGCAGGATACGGGAAAACACAATCCTGAGGATTCCTACTCTACGGCAGTACATCTACCATTGCACAAAAGGGAGAGAATGCAATATTTTGACGCACTTATGGCACTGGTTCGAACTGATTAATTTATGTTAAACTGATCATGTGTCAAACTCCCTAATCCGACACCCGTAGCGAGGTGTAGTTAAGTATCTGTGTGATTTTACCTAACTTAGCATTTGTAAGTTAATTCTTACGGTGCAGTTTCAGCTGTCTTAATAGCTGTGTCACTTGGCTACTTAGTTCTAGATTGTACTTTCTAATCAAGGCGTGATTCGCTTATTAATTTTCATGTTATTTTTGCTTTAGCGCGACAAAAGTTGTTTCAGACAGAGAAATAAAGAAACATGAAGAAAACAAGTCACATTGTTCGCAATTAAATAATCACGTGATTTTTTTATTTATTTAAATCTCTCTCTCTCTCTCTATCTATCTATCTATCTATCTATCTATCTATCTATCTATCTCTTTCTCCTTAGAAAAAAAAAGATAATAATTGCCTACCAGCGAAAAAGACACACAGACAGATGATTTAAAATATGGTACGTTGTTCTACTCAAAAGTTTGCGGAAGCTATATTCTAAAAAAAGAGCTGATTTTTTCATCCGTCATACACTGTCTGCATGTATTGTAAATGTATATGCGAATGTCTGTGTTGTGCATGGGTGACATACACATGATTGTACCATTCAATGTATACACGAGTACACGCACACGCACATACACACAATTTGACTGAGTTTGAAATAAGACGTTGGAATAATACATTCCCCTTCCTTCTCAGTCTAGACAACCCTTACCCTGGGCTGAGCAATAAAATCAAAGTTGGCGAAAACATCAAAGCTCTAAAAACATCAAAAAATTATATGAGATTTTATTGAACTTTTCGCAAATTATTTGGTAATAAATAGAATTATTTTTAAGCTTTTTTAAAACATTCTATAGAAATATTTTAAGTGGCTCATTGAATTAAAATATACATACATGCACACACAATTTGAATTCAATTGAAGTTAACATCTGTATTGCGAGGGCTAATTTTCATTTCTGTCTGTCAACAATTGGATAACAGTACACTACTTAACTTACAGAACAGGGAAAGAGAATAAGCCGAAATATGTGTCCGTTTGACTTTGAAGTCATTTTATGAGACCTTATTTGACCTGAATATATTTTCTAATAAATGTAGTATTTTAAATGTCAAACAATTGTTATTTGAAATTTAATCATCATGTCGTCAGCGAATCGACGACTACCGAACTACTTTGTTTCAGTTACCATTATTTTTGCAGCTTTTTTAGCCGAGCGTAGCCGAAGTTGTTACACTACAGACAGCAAAACAAAGAAACATAAGTCATTGTTCATTATTATATGATCTCATGATATTTTTTAAATTTAAATCTCTCATTTCTTTAGAAGACAATATAATTAGCAATCACGAAGACACACAGACAGATGATTTAAAAATATCACAATTTCACAGCACTTATTTCAATGAACCGCTTTACATAGAATGATTACTTCGCTACTTAAATGTAGAAACTGTCTTCTACTTCTTCTACACCCTTGGGCAAATTAATTTGAAACAAAACGAATATTTCCGTTATTATTTACTTTTTTCCGTATTTTCCAATGAAACATGACCCAGGGCACACATTAGTACTTCGTATGTCCATTCCACGAAGTCGTTCCTTGCAGATTGACAACAGATTCTCGATTGGATTTTTAAATCAGGAGAGTTTCTGGGCTAGTCTATAGTACTTTGATTTGCTCACTGGTAAGGCTTGCCAGTGTGATCGCGCAGCGTTACAATTTCGTATGCTTCCTTGGAGTAACGTCCATCGCAAACAATGGCCGTAGGACAACTAATCGAAAGTCGAGACAATAGTGTCTGGGCGTGATAAAAATCTGATACAATCAGATGACGCAATATTTTTCAACAAATTTCATCATACACCCCGAAAATAGATTTATATTACTGCACACCGCTGCAAATGACCAAATCTGAGGAAAAAATAGAAATCGACTACACCCAGTCACTCAGAATGAGTCTAAAACTGAAGCGTATGGTGAAAGAAAGAAAACTAAAGTTGTTTCAATTAATTTGTACAAGAGTTTATGTGCCGTGTTCATTCAGAACGCGACCGATCATGGGTCACCACGACTTCCTATTTTTATAGCCCTTAGTAAAGTTTGTCCTTGCTATCTCCCTGTTATGTCAACCATTTACACAAGCTTGTTAGGTAGTTTATCCGATGCTATCCTCTGTCCCTCTTACCTTGAATGTCCTGTGAGTGTCAACTTTACTAAGCCTTCTTTCCTCATTATGCGTTCTATAAACTTCAACTCTCTTTCTGATGCTACGTATGTGACCTTTTTTTGTTTCCATTTTCTTTAAAGCTTCGTCGTTGTTTACATATTCAGTCCATGGTATTCTCGGCATACCTCTATAGAACTACATTTCTATTGCCTCTAGTCTCTTCCCTGTCTTTGTTGGAAATAATATAAGGGACAGATAAGGCGCTGTTGATTATTTACGGCCGATTTGTTTAAATAATGCACTGATTACTGTTTGTGTAACGTGGTAATAATTGTAAGTAAAATGATGCACTAAACTAAGTAACCAAGTAATCGTTTTAAGTTATCTGAATAGCTGGTCGGTTGATTTTGTTTAGCGGCATATCAACACCTCTATGGGTTATTTAATGCCGAAATTTAAATATTTTGTACATAATTTTATACTTTTCAGGGTAAAGTTATGTTTTTTAGCTCATAAAACGTATTGTTGAAAGTTTTACTATAAAAATGTATTTTTATATTTTTTTAGTGTTGTCATTTTGCTATAGAAATGTATTGTTGGTCATTTTATTATAAAAATGTACTGTTGATTTTTGTTTGGTGTTTCACTAATTGCCCATAACTGGGACCCTAACAGGTGCTATCATCCTGGGTCATGGTGGACCTGGGGACAACTGCAGTTAAGAGGTGGTTCCACGCTCCTCAAAACCTCCAATTTCCCGATTGAAGGACTTGCTGCCGGATGTAGTTTATCGTCATGCCCAGGACGAAAGTTATCTGAATAGCGGTGCCTTTAAAAATTTATTCAAATATTCAGGGGATTAAATTATGAGAAAAGTTACCCTCGAACGAGCCCATCTACAGAGTATTTGGAGCTGGAAGGCCTTTAAGCCAGGCGACCGCAAGTAAAAATGTGAATTCTCATACTCACTTTGGAGTAACAGTTCGACCGGTTCTCAGATTGGAAAAGTCATAATAAAACAAACAATTTCTTTGTTTTTTCTCATTTTTTAAGGATTTAATTTTTTTTTTTTTACCAATATGTACGATAGAAAGTGAAATAGTATCAAGCGGTGAAAATGTGTTAGATGTATGACTTATTGTAAGTCTTCTTCTTCTTCTTCTTCTTCTATGTGCCGTGTCCCTTCAGAACGTAGTCGATCATGGCCCTCCACATCTTCCTGTTCCTTGTAGCTCTTAATGAGGTTTGTCTTTTTGTTATTTCTCCTAAACCATGTTTTACCATCAAGCTCATCATGTTGTTTTTTTGGACTCATCCTTTTGCTGACAATCGTGCCTTCTGTGTTCTTGTAGTTCATATTTAGTCTTTTCTTCTAGCTTTCCTTCTGTAGGAGCTTTTGTAGTTTCCTTTCTGTGTCTGCTATCAACACTGTATCATTTGTATATCTCATGTTGTTAAGATTATAGCCGCCAATAATGAATCCTGGCAGAACTTCTATGAAGAATTAGCACACTAAAATTAGTTCACATCATTTATTTCATGGAGTGGTGGGTGCGAAATGATTTGAGGGAGCAGCCTTAAATCTGCTCTTAAACCTTAGTTTTTACTGTCACTTTCGAATCTCTTCTCTTATTGCTTTTCATGTGCTAACTGCTAAGTCATTAGCTTTACAAATGATAATGGCGACTGTCGGTTGACATGCGTTATTCAAATTCTACAATTTATTTTAATACAAACCACGAGTGCTCGTACTATTAAAACTGTTTACGGCCACATCATGTTGAAACACCGGTTCCCGTACGCTTACCGAAGTTAAGCAACATCGAGCATGGCCAGTACCTAGATGGGTGACCTCTGGGGAATATCAGCTTCTGTAAGCTTGGACGAGCGGGTGGTGTAATAATGAATAATGGTTCGGTATTGTTAATCGGAGAGCTGAGTACCAATTTCAGTTGGGCTCGTTATATTCACTTACATGCAAATACCGATATGAATGGTATGGATCCACCTCTTCACTCCCCATCTATGGGTTAATTAGTAAGACTTGTATTACTATTATTATCTAAAACAAAATTCTAAAAATATTTTCTGGTTTTAATTAACCTGTAAAAGGTTGATAAGCCGTAAAAACGAATCAAGCAACCAACTATTAGAGCTAGATGTTAATTAATTTGTAAAATACTTCCCCCCACACACCAATATAAACAGAGTTTATTTAACTGATCTCCCTACTAAAGCAGGGTGTGACACAAGGTCTTTTTTTTAATGTGGGGTGCCTCGTACGTATGCATATTTTTGTGAGTTATGGACAAAAATTACCCAGTCCCCGCGACCATTGTCACGCTGACGTTGATATTACACCGAAACCTCCTCTCTTTATTCAATGTTGGTGCTGCTATCTGAGTGTCGGGATTCCAAACATTTAACAACACAACACAGATGAAATATAACAAAAGGTTATTTTTTTAAGTAAAAATAGAAGCAGAACTTCAGTTGAATTAACATTTATATATTCTTTTCAGAGATATACAATAGCAATAAAATATTCAATTTCCTTGCAGTGAAGTTTGTTTTATAAAGTAATTGAGTTTTCTTATTACGATGGGAATGTGTGAACGGACTTTATGACAGTCAGCCTAATGTGATTGTGAGTTCGTAGACAAAGGCTTAGTTGGCGGATGCTGTTATTCCCACCTATTGTGTACGTGGACAAGGCCTTAGTCGGTGGCTGCTGGCTGTCTCTCTTCCATTGTGTGCGTGTCGGTTGGGGGGGGGTCGTGTACCCACGGGTAGATCAAATTGGCCTCCGAAATTTTTTTAAACCCTGAGAAAAAGTATGCTTCTATTTTTATATCCGTAAAGGGATTCAAAATTTAATTTCACATAGCGGTGGTTAACTTTTTGAATACAAGGTTTTAATTGGCTCGCGAAAATCTTTTTCTTGAATTTATTGGAGTGGTGAAGGGAGTTATTATTCTTATTTTCTAAATGGTCCAAAACGTGGGTAGGTTTACCACGATGTCCGCAAGTATTTTGGCGGTATTTGCATTTGGATTGATTGTTTATCAAACAACTTTCTGATTGGATTTTATTGGTTGAAAATATATATAGGATTTTATTTCTATACCTTCTCCCATTCAAAACGAGAAAGATACGACGCTTTGATCCCGACTCGAAGACCGAGAAACGATTTACCTGACCTCCCTCTAATATTTACTCCCTTCTATGATGTCAGGATGTAGCCGGTTTGAAGTGGGGAGCCTAAGCGCGTGTACCTGGGCTAAAGCCCCAGATTACTCAGTCTCCGCAACCGCAGTTGCACTGGCGTCGATATTCTACTGGCCAACCCTCTTTGACGCAATGAAGGAGGTGCTGTTGCAGGGTTAGAATCCCGTGATCAGGCACCTTCTCCCATCTAAATTGAAAATAGATACCACCAGTGCCAAATTTAGATATTGGGCTAATATGATCCCAAGACTAGATGGGGCCCCAAGGGCCCTTTAGACTTGTGCCCCTGATTAAGCTAAAAAAAATAAAGATATAAGGACAAAGGTGATTTGTTTATTTTCTCCTTTAAACTAATTTGAAACTATTTAGTTTTGGGGTCCCTTTCTAGTTCTGTAGGATGCAAAGTTCGGATAAAAAATATCATGGAATTGTTTAGTTTATGAAATAAATTCGATGCTTTCCAAAATCATCAAAAATTTACTTGAAGTGTTTCATGTTTTACACCAAAAATGCATAATCTAACTAAAAATATATCTTTTTTTTTTTATAGACACGGGGTGGGGGCGAACATACGTAATGAAGAAGCCCCGCTCTTAAGATATTGGAAATTAATTTGAGAACCACGAATACAATATTTTACAACTTGACATTCTAGCCTATTCTCCAATCCTCACTCCAACCTTATTTCTTACTTTCAAAACCGGCTCCCAGAGCCTTGATTCTTATCAGAGATTAGAATATAATTTCTGACTAACGAGAGAGCTGGAAAATATAAAAAGGAATCCTACCATCATTATTCTTTCCATGGTGCCATAAAGTCTGGGGGAAACCTCACAGCTTGTTCACTCTCCAACCTTTTTCATTACTTGCAAAACTGACTCCCAAAGCCTTCATTCTTATCAAGAGATAATAATGTGTTTTCTGGAGGGGTCAGTAAATTTGTATTACAATTTTGGAGGGAAAAGTCACCGATTCTTCTGAGCCTCCCAAATCTCCATAAATTTGGAGAATCTTCGCTTATTTAGCAGTCAAAATTCGACCACCGTCTGTGAGGTCGACGAAAGAGAATACCAGTCAACTTCAGAACCAGTTTCAACAAAGAAGAACTACCTACTAAAGGACTGTCGAACGTCGGCCCACTATTAAACTCCAGTTGAAAGCTGCCTCCTACAAGACTTCTGTCGTCGACCTACGAACTCGCTCAACTGCAAAACAAAACTCCTACCTACTGATATTTTCCTACTCTGCAAGAACTTTGAAGAAAACTATGAGTGTTCCTAACCCATAACAAAATTCTACTCGCTTAAAGAACTTTTAGGCGCTCAGTGAAATATTTTGTTTTGAGCAGGCCTTTTTTCTTTTATGAACATTTTCTCTTCCTTTTCTCTCTCTTACTCTCCTAATTGTTTTTATCCCTTTGTCTTTTTTTTTTTTTTACGTGTAAATAAACATCTTCTTGTTTTATTTTTACACACCGAGCAGGAGTTTTGAGTCTTTCTTTATTCGTCCACCTAAAAGAGAGAGAGTTTGTCCGCTCTAATCTTGCTGTTTTTTTATTCGATTTTTTTTCGCAATTTTTTAACCTCGACCCTTTCATGTAGGAAAGCCGGGACAAATTTCCCGCAAAGGCTTAAATCCGGCCCTAGATACGACGCTTTGAACCCGACCGCAAGGCCGAGAGAGAGAGAAAAAAGAAACAGAGACGTAAAAATAAAATTAAATAACATCCAACAAACAGGACGCCAAAAAATTAAAAAGATCGGGGCTAAATCATTTTTAGCACCAATGTTTATATTAAGTGGGCGCTCTAAACCGCATGTTACGTTTTAGATTCCGGGTTCTATTTTTTTTCCTTTTTTTTTTTTAATGAGTTGATCCGCGCTCATATAGTGAGCATTTGTTTTTTTTAGATGTATCTTCTTAACATTAACAGTAAACATTTTTTTTATTTATTTTGATTCTTTTTATTTTAAACGTACATTTTTTTTCATTACTTTTTTTTTTCGCTTGCACTTATTTTCTGGAATGACACCAAAACTATTTTTTCTCATAAAAAAAACTTTAATTATTTTTTTAAAAACTGAAAACTAAAAAGTAACGAAAAATGATTTATTATGAAAATTGTGTAATGATTTTCAATTTTCCTTGTACCAAGAATACAAATATAGTCTTCTCAGTTTCAGCAAAAAAAGGCGGGGTGCAGACGTCTCGCCCCTTCAAGTTGCCCCGATACTGCTGTGGATGATTTTTCATTTCATTGTAATAAATATCATAATACGAAAAATTAAAAAAACATTCCAATTTTGGATAAAGGAACGAATCCCATCCCCTCTTTAGCTTTTCTTTTTTTTTTTTTAATTTTATTTTAGTTTCTTCTTCAGTAGCAGACGAAATCAAATAAAATTTTGAAACTGAATAATAATAATAATAATAATAATAATAATAATAATAATAATGATGATGATGATGATGAAACAAAAACAATACATTTCATTTCAGCGTACAGAATGCTAAAAATAACTATTTTTTGCGCTTAACTTACTACTTCACAAGGAAAGCCAGTCGCAGATGTAAAAAGGAAAAAAAAAAAGTTTTCAAGTATTTTCATTGGTCGTAAGGATGAGTGTTTGTCAATAATTGTGTTTGTGTACTTAATATTGCGTATCAGGAGCGACAATACTACTAGTTAAAAGCGGTCACTAGTATATAAAGTTGGCAAAAAAAAAATCGTACAATTGCTGCTGAGTTGGCTCGCTTTTATTAGTCATCTGCTCAAAGTAAGAGAGAAAAAATTGAAAATATGGTTTTCGGAACAGTGTTCATAACTTTGATATTGGCTGTATTTACTTACGGATTTTATAAAATTGCCAAGCGTGCTTGGGAAGATGGAAAACCTTTGGATTATAAGAAAGATATAAAATTAACAGGCAAGATTGTTTTAATTACTGGTGCCAACTGTGGCCTGGGAAAAGCTACGGCGTTAGATCTAGCCGCCCGGGGAGCGCGTGTTATTCTCGCTTGTAGGAACAAAGAGAAAGCTGAAATAGCGGCCGAAGAAATAAAAAGTGCAACAGGGAACCAAGATGTGTCCATAGTAATTTTGGATCTTTCTGATTTGGATTCCGTGAAGGCAGCGGCTGAAAACGTTATCAAAACATACGATAGGTGAATATGAGTGCATTTTAGTTTTTTAAAATTTAATTATTTGATGGGATTTTTGTTAAATTTTTTATTCCTCCCCACTATTTGACTTATTTTTTTTAATTCTCTCTTTTATTCGAATTTCTTTTTTCATAAACCCTCCAGATCACGAATGGCATTTTTTCTTTAAATTAAATTTTATAAAAGTTAATTTTGGGTCCCTCCAGTTTTACTATGTAATTTTAAGTTAACAACTGAAACCCATACGGAAACCAAAACAAAAGATGCCCATTACCACGTGATTTCTTAATAATACGTAAAAAAATTCGTAAATTGGAGTGCTTTTCCCCCACATAGAGTATTGATTGATTGATTAAATCACTCCAGATTAAGAATTAAAAAAAAAAAAAAATCACGTATATTTGTTTTGTTTTTTGTTTTTTTTTTTTTGCTTCTGCCGGGATACAAACATACCAAACAAAACTGGACCCCATATTAAATTAACTTTTCGAATTTTTTTACATTCGTGATTTGGTTTGGAGTGCTTAATTAATGTATATTGTAATATGAAAAAAAAAAAAAAAAAGATTATTTCTGGTCTCGGTGATTGTATGTACAAACTAAACAACTCTATTTTTTTCTTTCTTTATGTTTTTGTTTTGATTTGTATGATGTTCCATCCATTGTTATGGCCTATTTCGAGTAGGCCAAAATAATGATATTGATTGACTCTGCATAAAAAATATGGCCTGAAATTATAATGCATAGGAAAATTAAATAAAAATTATGAAACTGAAAGTTTTCAACAGCGCAAAATGACTGATTCGCCCCGACACAAATTGTATGCTTGCGCGTTAGATAAAAAAAAAGAGATTTATTTGTTTATAAAAAAAAAATGAATATTGATAGGAGGAAAAAAAAAAAATAGATCTTCAATGATGATTCAGGTAGCAGATTATTTCATTTCTCGTTATAATGCAAATCTTGGAGGCTTTTCAGTTCGCACAAAGAAAGTTTGTAAAGTCTAAACTGGAACTTATTTTCTCTTTTACATTTACAAGGATTTTTAGCAGGAATCTACACCCCAAGTAGATTTCAGCAGTTTCTCTGAAGAAACATGAAAACAATGTCTCGATTCTCCCTATCTTAAAATCTCTTTTGTTGTTGTTCTTGTTAGTGCCTGCTTAGCTTACGGCACATCACGTTGAAATACTGATTCCCCTCCCCCATACAATCACCGAAGTTAAGCAATGTTGAGCCTGGTCAGTAAATAGATCGGTGACCTCTTGGAAATACCAACTGCTCTATGCTTGAATGTGCAGATGATGTAATGGACAATGGCTTGGTATTGTTAATGAGAGAACCAAGTTCCAATTTCAGTTGAGTTTGTTATATTGATTTACGTGCAAATAACATTGGGGTAAGGTATGAATCCACCTCTTCCCCCCATCATGGGTTAATTAGTAAAACTTGTATTACTAAATCTTTATTCTCTCAAATAAAAAACAAATTCTTACAATCTAAAAATATTTTTGGAATACCTTGAATTTTACTTGTGAAGGGTTTATAAATTGTAGAAAACAAATCCATCAATATATATATATATATATCCATCAAATATATATGCAATGTTTCTCTCTCAAAAATGGCATAACAGTTCAGTGGTTGTTTTGCATGATTTTTTTTGCATAAATAATTTTCTTCCCTATTTCATTAAAAAAATATTTCTTGCAGAAGGACACTGACATCTTTATTTTAATTAATATATATTTTCGGATCATTTAAAAAATGTATAAATGTAAAACCGGATCAAAAATCGTCCATCAGTTCGGATTTCAGCAGATGCTACTTGACCTGTCACACAGCAAAAATAAATGTTGTAGTGACATAGGAGTAAAATAGGGTAAATTACAATCTCTAGCTTCTAAAATATACTAAAATTTAACATTCATAAATGTTAAATTTTGATGTCTGATGGCAAAAATGTGTCCCCATGCAAGTGTGACGATAAAACGCCCAAAATTTTGAGAAAGTTTAATTTTCATATTAATACAAAAAAAAAAAAAAGATTTTGAAATTGTGTTTTAAAAATTGTGTTCTGTATATAGAACCGGAGATATTTGTGGTTGAAGAATTGTCGTACTGTATATAAACAGTGATAAAATGACTGATATGAAATATCCAAATATGCATGAATCTGTGAAAACCATTTGGATGTTTAACATTGTTTATTTTGTTGTCAATGTTTCACTATGTAAGAGCATCATCAGAACAACTACAAAGTCTAAAAAAAAATTGTTACTATGGCACTCTTCAGTCAGTTATGTGCCATGCATGATACATGCTTAGGCGATTATGTATCTTTCGATACATGACTGATGAGGCAGATTTTTTCCCCCAGTAGGTTGCCATTCCTTTCTGCAGTAGACCATTTGCCATTGTTATAAAATAAAACATATCTCGGCTTATTTACAGGCAAATACTCAAGAGCGAGAACCGGATGTAAACGGGACAAAGCCCCATCACAAAATGACCATTATCTTTCTTCACAAATGTTCCCGACACACGTGTTCCGGTCGAAAAATAAAATAATATTTAAAGTGCTCTATTTTTCGTCCAATAAAAATGCTTCCCTCCTAATTATACTCGCTTCGTTTTTCGAGCCTGTTAAGCCATAAAAAACACTATAAAAGGGGTCACACGGAAGTTCAAAGGGCAGTCAACAGGTGGCCACAAAGGAGACCTGTTACGGTCAGGCCGAGCGTTCAGCAGCTGAAAGCAGGGGAGCATCAACCACTGTCAACATGTGTGAACCACTATGAGAGATCAACCTAGATCCGAAAGCCAGCTTATGAACTTTACCACACCAAGGTAGCTGTCCCAAACCCTCACGTTCCTGTTGAAATAAATCTCGTAAATCTATTTCTACTGTTGTCGTATTTCTTTCTTGCAACCATACGCTTGTCTATAACACCATCCAAGGCTATAGAACCCGGTCTGTCCTGCTATTTATCCATAGCTGGGGGGAGAAGAAGAGGATTCATACCTTTTCCAAGGATATTAGCACATAAGTGAATGTAACAGAGTTGACTGGAATTCGAACTCAGCTCCCCAATTCCTCAATCTGAGTTGCTATCCATTATTCCACTGTGCATCCTATGGCACCCTTGCTACTTAGAAATTTAAGAATAAATATATGAACAAATCAACGAAATTTGTTCATAAAACAAAATGAAATATGATTTGATTTAGGAAAATAAAAGTTATGGTGAGAAAGGATTTCCTTGGATTTTTTAAGTCATTCAGATGATGCTTTTAGTGAAATGTTGACAGCAGAATAAATCTTGCAGAAATCTCATCTTGTCTAATTTTAATAATTGGCACAGGAGAGAATATTTAGGCAAAAAACTCTAAATTTTAAAAATTTTCTAAAAATCTACTAATTATCTAATTTCAATAAAATTTTTATTATTATTATCAGTCACTTACTCCAACTATTGCAGACTGTGCATCAACATGAGATATTCTTTTCCACAATGTTCAATCACCAGCAATAGAGTTTAATGAGTAAAGGCCAAATTCAATCCATAAGTGGACATTATCAAGTCAGCATTTACCAGCCAACTTTCCTTCTAGGCATAACTTACTCATTCAATGAATTGATCTTTTGATATGTCTATACAGTTTAAGTACTTGATAACATGATTGGCTTAAGCTTGGTAATGTTGCATAGGTTATTGATGGAGATATGGTCGCTGAGGCATTTGTTTGTCATAAGTCACATGATGGGGTTCTGGAATCTAGTGAGCTTTTGAAATGACATTGTTATCCAGTTAACATAACCAAGACCATATAACACAACTGGAAGGATGTAAGTGCCTTCAAATGATTAGAAACTCATTTTGATGTTAGCATTTCTTTGTTCCTGTGGAAAGCTGCACAACCCAAAACAGATACAATGTTGCACTGCAACCATTCCATTATTGTTTGACAAAAGCTTGTGACCAAGATATACAAACTTCATAACTTGAATGATTTGCTGGTTGTAGATTGTGAGGTGAAGATTGGAATTGTCATGCAATTTGTTTTTGATATGTTGATGTTTAAGCCAACCTCAAGTGCATGTTTGGCCAGTACATTCAGAAAGTTTTGCAGATCAGTTCTAGAGTAACTCATGATGGCCAGATCATCTGCATAGGATCTGACTTCCTATTTGATAGCTGGAGGAGCATTCTTTTTCAGTTTGGTAGATAAGCACAGCTATAATGATACTGAAAATGATGATAGGATGTCTCTCTGCTTAACTCCCTTCAAGAAGTCTACACAACATGTAGTTTCCAGATCTGTTTTGATATATACTGTTGAGTTTGTGTAAGCTTCATTTAGTAGGTTATTGTACTTCTTGTTAATTGCAGTTTTGTTTAAGAGTTGCCACAAGTTGGGAAGTTTCATACTGTCAGAAGCTTTTGTCGATGAAGGTGATATTCACAGGATTGTTGAATTCTATTGATTTCTCAATGAATTGTTCAGTAGCTATGAATTACTCCAGTCCTAGTAAACTTTTCATACTTATTAATTTATAAATAGGTAAGCTGCTAAAAATTTTTGTTCACTGTATCATGTGAGCCAATTTTCCTCCTCAGAATCTATTATTCACCCATGCTTAGAATATTGCTGTCACATATGGTCTGGTACTCTTGCTATTTACCTTGAGCTCCTTGATAAAATCCAAAGAAGAATCAGCAATATTATTGGTTCTGATCTGGCAGTTTGGCTTTAGTCACTTTCCCACTGCCATAAAATTGCCTCTCTGTCTTTTCTATAAATACTTTCATGGTAATTATTCGGATGAGTTCCTCGCTATGGTACCTAGACTTTTTGAATTTAAGCGCAGTACTAGATTGGTATCAAGATCTCATCAAGTTAAAGTTGAGTTGGCTAGATGTAACTGTAAATTCTATGCTAACAGTTTCTTTTCTTGCACTTCTCACTTGTGCAACTCCCTTCTGGCTTCATACTTTCCA